AGGAATGCCATAATTGAATGAAGCAAAGCCAGATAAGACGTTTAGTGAAGGTTTTGGTGATTGCACATATTTCATAGAAATAAAAGAATATTTAAACATGGCAATGCAATAACAAATAAAAAATTAAGTAAAAACGAGTAATAACCAATAATAAAAAAATTACAAAATTTAAAAACAAATAAAAAATAAAGAGACAGGAAAGGATTAGAGGAAAGTCGAGATTAGTCTTTCTTGTAATTGAAAAAGCATTTTATCAACTTAAGGTACATTCAAGTAATTCAGGTTGAAATATTAAGAACAGATACAATTACGATATACCTACTCTTTTATGTGGCATCAGGAATTAACTCTGTTCCATAACAGTTTTAACAAAGATGAATTTAAAAAATGTTTCAAAAAACACTTTTATTAAAAAAGAAGTTTGTACTTTTAAATGTACGCATTATATCATTTATGTTCGTGTTGGAATGAATAATTTATGCTTACAGGAATTGTTTTGTTCTTGTATGCTGCTTGTTAGTTTTAGCAAGAAGTAAATTGAATTAGCATTTTTCAAAGTGTAACATTAAATTGTGTTCTGATTATGTTATTGGTGTACCTTTTAGAGGTTCGATGATCGAACAAAAATATGTTTAATGTACCTGTATGTCAGGTATACTGGCAGCTTCTTCTGAAAAGTGTCGTCTGTCTGGTTTAGGACTGTGTTGATGTGGCAACTTAAAAGAGAACTTTCTGCGTCTTGAAGGACTGGCAGGTGTTCGGGGAGACTCCGGTGGATGTTCAAGGTCTGTCATGGAACGTGCTGTCAATTCCTGTGCCATAGCAATGGCTGAGTAGAGAGTTTTCTGATCGGCAGCTGAGATAGGCTTCACCTAAATATATAAGAAGTAAACGTTTACCATCTCTGGTAAATGTACAATATACAACAATTTCTGTTTTTCTTTGAATTTATATTAATTTATCATAAAAAACTTACTGCATGTGTTCTTTTATACTGATAATGTATTTACTATTTTTGTTTTTGAATATTAAAAATTTTGGGTTGTACACTTCATCGTGCAAATAATACATATAACATATAAAAAGAAATCAATAATACACAGCAGCAAATAATGAATAAGAAATAAATAACAAAATAATAATATGTAAAAGCATAATTATAAATAACAAAATTACTGTACATTTATTGGACTCACGGTGGCTTGTTTTTTTTTATTGCTCTGCTTTGCCTGTATTTCTCTCAGCTCGTTTCGAGCATTACTCGATTCGTGTTCAGTTGATAAAGGATGAACTGGTGGTGGTGGAGGAGGAGAAGATCCTCCTAATTAAAAAATATGAATTAATAAACTCATACTTATCATACCTCATTCATATATACTAAATTTACCTAATGATCTAAACATTTGGTCCATTTCAGCTAACAGACTTGGACCAAAATCAAAATTCAACATTTTGTCGAATTTCAATGGACTGTCTTGATTTTCTTCATCACTGATTTCATGATACTCATGATCTGCTCCAAGAGTATCATTACTGCTAGTCGCGGTTAATGGAACAGACTGTTTACTTGAATTAGCCACATGGCACACTTCAGAACTTACATCTGACCATAAACTTTCTAATAAGATAAATAAATTTGACAATATCAAAAATTTTATTGACAATTTTGAGTATTAATTATAAAAGGTAAACATACCATGCTTATTCTGGGCATCTTGTTGTGTATTTCTGTAATCTCTCAATAATTCTCTGTTTGTCTCTGTGCTTCTTGCATCCTGGTTCAAAATTTGACTAGAATTGTCCGTTACATCTTCTTGTGGTTTGTATGGTGTCACTACTTGTCGTGGTAAATGTGGATATTTTCCACCAAGGAAGCCAATATCACCAAAATAAGCTCCATCTAATCCGACATGACCCGTATGTTTCAAATCACCTTGCGGAGAGGAAATCATATCTGTACGAATTTTTCGTCTCTGAGAAGAAAAGGCGTTTTTTCCATCACCACGTGTGAATTCTCCTGGCTTATTACTTGGTAGATTTGATCCAAGATATGCTATTGTATGAACAGGATTAAAAAAGCCAGTTTTTCCATTGCTTAAAACTCCCTTCCACAATGTGTTACTACTTCCCTTGTCAAGAACAGTTATAACATCTCCTTGCCTGTAAACAAGCTGACCTGTTTCCATAGTATCTTGAACAGCTTGAACCTGTTCTGGTTTTAAATCAGGTAAAAGATTAATTAATTCAGAAAACTTAGGTCGTTTGGATGGCTCATGTTGCCAACATTGTTGCATAAGAGAAAAATAATCTTTTGGACAACATTCTGGTTGCTCTAATCTCTGGAAGTTAGGATCATCTATGGCTTCTAAAATTTGATGGCCAGTTAATGCTGCCCATGGTTGAAAACCATAGCTAAACATCTCCCATAAAGTAACTCCATAGGCCCACACATCACTTGCAGAAGTAAACTTTAAATACGATATACATTCTGGAGCACACCATGCTATTGGTAATTTCAAATTTACATTAAAATTCGTTTGATAATAGTCCTTTCCAACCCCTAATGCTCGTGACAATCCAAAATCAGATATTTTAACTTTGTTCTTAGAAAACACTAAAATATTCCTGGCAGCAAGATCCCTGTGTATCAATCGTTTTGCTTCCAAATATTGCATACCATCTGCAATTTGTACAGCGAAGTCACATAATGAAAGAACAGGAAAACTAGTACGTAAACTGGGTTCTTTTAGACATTCCAATAATGATCTTAGAGGTGCTAATTCTGTGACAAGCATTAAAGAATTTGTATCCAAAACTACACCATATAATCTTACAATATGTTCATGATCTATTGCATGCATTATGGCTGCTTCTTTCAAAAATTCAATTGGATTGTTTTGCATTCTTTCCCGTGATAAACATTTAATTGCTACTTGTATTCTTTCTCCATCATTTGTCCAGACACCTTGTTGAACAACTCCAAACTCTCCCATTCCTAATTCTTTGTTAACAATAATTGCATCTGCTGGTATCATGTGTTTATTAGGAACACGAATCGGTGGTCTATCTTGCCTTTCTTCTGGTAACATTGTTAAAGCACCTGTAGTTGGTTCTTCCCGTTTTGGTAACAACATCTTTTTGAACTTAGATAGATAGTTTTGAGGGAAATGTTTTTGGAAATATTTCTTTAAACGACGCATTTCTGGTTTGCTCATTCCAATTGCATTCAAATCTTCTTCTGTTACATATTTCAATTGAGCAGTAGTCTGTACCTTCAAGTCCCCTATATATGCATATAACAAATCACCAATTTAGAAATTTTAATAAAAAATTTAATAACTTCAAAAATATATACCTCGAATTCCAGGATAATATTGTTGGAGCTCTGCTTCCATAAGGAATTCATACAAACCAGGTCCAGTGTTACGGGACATTCCTCCTTGTGTGTCTTTAAACAAATAAGAATACTTGTAAACACAACCAAAATATTAAATAATACTTAGAAATATATGTAATATACAGATTATATTTATAAATTTAACATAAATAACGGGATGCAAATAGTCTTTTATACTATACAATATTGTAAAATTATTTATCGAGATTTGTGAACATTGAATGAACATTTTTTAATTAATCCGCTAAAAAGAGGATAAAAACAATTCTTGCTACCATCTAAATCAGTTAACATTACATAAGAATCAAAGCAAATTTTTATCAATAAATCGATCGTTAGTAAATCGTGATGAATGGATTTCCCTTATATCATTTAAGATAATATTACAAAATCTAAACTATTATTTTCGAGTATGATAACTACAAATATATGTTACCTGTCACTGATAATATTGCAGCAACATTAAGCAAACAAGTTTTTGATCGATACTCTAAGAAAATACGACACAATTTGAAGCTTCTATGTACAAAGAAAGCACGAAATATACAGAATGGGAAAAAATAGAAAATAATAGAGGCGAACCAGAGTGGGGAGAAAACGAAATTCCAGACACGCGACAACAGTTCCGGTGTGTACCGTGTGCACTATATCATACAATTTTTCTCAGTGCACTGGTTAAAAAGAGTAACGAAAATCATCTCATGTTGCTCGACACCAATTTAAGTAAAGTGTGTATTATCTTTGATATGTCATCCATTGCATATCATAATTTGGCCAAGGCCTCATAAAAAATGGAAAATGATAAACGAGACATAGAGTAATATATGAATCGTTGTATTTCTATGGAAGACACGCCCTGTGTGCTTCAAATAGATTATTATTTATATAAGCGTGTCAGCTTTATACCGTGGTACTCACCCATTCTACGATGACGCAGCACGGTACACTCGGAGGTCCACTCCTTGTCATGAGACGCAAGCGTCTGCCACTTCGTTCGACCGATCGACGATCCGAAATCACAAAACTTCTCTCTTTCTTCGACGTTTCGACTCTCCCCTCCGCCATGTAAATCACACCGCTATTTTCCGTCCGGTTCACATTTTTTATTGTTCAAGATACTTGTCCTCTATGAGACAATTTTGTTCTTAAATTTTCTCTTTGAAAGAAGAAAATTTATTCTGTTATTTATCACTCTTGAACAAGCACTTTTCTCGCGTTTATAACCGGCTTAATTAATTAGTAATTAAAACTACCCAATGCTTCAATTTCATCGTAAACCATTCTATTTGTTTGTGAACGATTTCATGTAACTGTGATAGTAGCTCCACTTGACGAGAAATTAGAGAAACTGTTAAAAAAGAGGTAAATTTGAAATTTCTTATTCTTTTGAATTTTCTTTTCTATTCTCTTTTTCTACTCTTTCTAAATGAAGTATAATAAAAAAAACTTTTAAAATTATTTTTTTCATTCAATCATTTATTCAATTATTTAAAATTGATGTGACTAGATTATAAATTTATATAATTATCGTAACTGCTATATTTAATTATTTTACAATTTCAGTCATATCAGTTATTTAATCACTAAATAATATTTTTTTTAGTATTATGATTAATAAATCATATTTTTATTTAAAAAAGAAATTTAGTAATGACACTATAGAGTTATATACGAATTGAGCACCACTGAATAGTTATAAGATTGTACCAGTTACGAGATAGGGCAATATATGAAAAATATTTATTAGGCTATTCAGTGTCATTAACGATACTTAATTATTTTTCTTTGACATAATATTCATTTTAATACGATGGCATCAATATTGTCTATTAGCATCAGAAAAGGTAATACTATCGGATATTTAACTGGATTATGTAAGGTTAGTACCTTTAGTAACATTCTAACGAAGAAATTAATATAATAATCACAATATAATGTTTTCAATATTCTAACATTAAAAATGTTTTGTAACCACAAATTCGTTACAAAACAAATTAGTTGAAGTATTTTTTATTACCAAATTTATTTAGACAATTGCATATTTTCTAGGTACCTAAAAATCATAATGTAACACAATTAGCATTTATGAAAAGAGTAGCATTGATGGAACATATACCTAAACCACCTCCATATCCTTATTGGAAAAAACAGTGCAATGATCTACATATGATGTTTGACCCAATGTCTCTCAGATATGATGACAATTCTAAACTGATAATTGTTGAAGGCCCTCCTGCAGTAGGGAAAACAAAACTTTGTGAAGAAATAGCGAAAGAGTATGGATTATTATATATGCCACCTCCAACACATGATGAAATATTTATAAATCCTTATGGGTTTGATGTACGCAGCATAAACTCAAAATTACCACCTTCATTTAAACATCATGATCTGAATGACTTCCTAAAAGACCCTTATCATGAACTAACAGCAGTGTTTCAATTAGGGTATTTTCTAATGAAGTTTGAACAATACCTAAATGCATTACTCCATATATTAGCAAGTGGACAAGGTGTAGTACTTAATCGATGCATTTATACAGAAGCTGCTTTTATGCATGCTATGTATAATGCTGGATATATTAGTAAACCAGTTGTAAATAATTTTGAACGTATGAGGCTTAACACTTTCAAGTTTCTTCTTAAACCACATTTAGTCATATATTTGGATGCATCTCCAGAAGTTACCCTAGTAAGGTTCATTATTTCTTATTTCAAAAAAAGTTATATTAGTTGAAATTAATATTAATTTATTGGATAAATGTATTTCAGGAAAGGATTAAACAACGAGGTAACATAAATGAAATTAATTCGAAAGTCTTCACAATAAATTATTTATCAGATCTAGAAAATGCAACTAAACAGACTTGCTTGGGTTGGTTATCATCTCAAACAGAGATAGTAACCTATGATTGGAATAAAGCAGGCAATAATATGGATATTGTTTATGATATTGAACAGATAGATTTAGAAGAAGATACATCTAAACAAAAATTCTATGATTGGCTATTTAGTAATAGTGAACACATAATTGACTGTATGGCACTGTATCAGGACAAAATATTAATTTATAATAACATCGATGGATATATAGAATCAGAAATTCCATCTGAATTGTATTCTTGTACTGAAGAGAGAGACGAATATGATAAAGAAATGGAAAAGGTAAGTGTATTACTTTTTGTAGAAGTAAATTATTCCAATTACTGTATCACTAAGTTATATATAGATTGTAAAAATACGATACAATTTTTAGATCGATTCTGAACAGTATCTGTATGGATATAATCCAAAATATGACAAGATACCTATCATTAAAAGACCTGGGATAAGACTTTCTTTATTTCGCCGCACACCACGCGATTTTATAAATTGCAAATATTTCAGCTGTCATGAAATGTAATGTACATTTAACTGTTAAAATATTCTTATAATAAAGAGAATTAATAACTTATTACAACTAATAAAATTGAATACATTGAATTTTGTTCCATAATTTAAAAAATAACATAATTAAGTATTTAATATTATTTCGATTGTGTCATAGAGGAAATGTATTAAAACACACTCATACGCGCGCGCGCATGAACATTATATTAAATATATTTTATTTTCCATATTATTTGTTTAAATAAATATATTTAATTATAAGAAAATAGATAAAAATATTAATTATCAGTAAAATTTACAAATTTCATACAAATAGATTTATGTAAAAATTGCCAAGTAATTTATAAAACATCAAGATAAACTTTATTTCTTATCACTTTGTCAAGTTATAGAATCATATTTGCAATAATATAATTTATTGTTTTGATTTTATATTGTCTGAAAAATTTTAATTTTATAAAATGGTCATTAACAAAAACCTATAAGGCCACAAGGAATAAGGAAAGAAACAAACTTTTAAATAGCAAAAATATTTTTCATTCACTATGTTATGTGATAAATTAAAATTAAGGTAACTGTTTACAAAGCTATGCTTCAATTTTCAATAAATCACTTCAGCACTTGAATAAATTAAAAAATTGTATTTGTATATTTATCTTTAGCAGTGAAATATTTAATTTATTTTATACCTCATTTTTATATGTTTTGTCAATATATAAATAAGATAAGTTTCGGAATGTACTTTTATATACAAACCATACCATAATTCTTTTACAATAAAATTAACTTTTAAAGCAGAAGAAAAAAATAAACAATTATAAATTAATAAAAGATTAAAATCATATTAAAATCAGTTGAGTGAATCCAACAATAGCTTGGTATATTATTTAAGTGCACTAATATACTTTATATACAAAGAGTCTGTACACAAAATATTGAATTTTGTCACATGATGTCATATAGAATTTATAAATTATACTTTTCAATGAAAACTATATAATACTAATTTCTTTGCATTTTCTATTGAAATTATAAAATTACAATAATATTCACCAAAATTCAGCATGATTTTGATAAATGGTTTTAAGGGGCTAAACTGCAACAGGAATTAGTTTTACGTGCTGTTTTATAAAATGCTTTTGATTGAACACTAAGAACTTGTGACTTCGAAACCAATTCATCCACATTCTCACCTCTTTTAAGGACAGCTTCTAATGTACCATGCTATAAAAATAAGACAGAAATATGCATAATAAATGGTTAGGTTATTTTAAGGAACATTTTTTTGTTGTCATCTGTAATACTTATACTTACTAAAATGATTTTTGTCTCATCTAAATCATTTTGGATTTTAGTAAGAGCATCAGCTTCATTGGGATTTTGATATTTGACTAAATATATATTAATCTGTGCAAAATCAGTCATAACTTCGCTTAAAGTATCCCATACAGACTGAGGATATTTTGTTGCAAATTCATCCATAACTTTTGTAATCAATGTATGTGCTACTCTTCTAGGATATTCATGATCTGATATAAGTACTGCAGCTAGGTTATCTGCTCGTACAAACACATGACACATATAATCTACAAAATGTTGCAATTTAAAAATTGAAAATATTAAAGACTACCATAAGTCTTGATTTCACAAATGTTACCTCCTTCTTTCACACTCTGTCTGGAGCAACTCTGAGTTCTTTCAACAATAGTTTTACTTATGAACGTCATAAATTCTTTAACGCTCTTTCTTTGAAAAAACGAAAAGGACTCTACATCATAAGCACCTTTCAATATTGTTGCTGATGTAGGATTTTTATACAAAACCGACAATGCATACAGTTTTACCATTTTTTTGGCTACGAAACAAACGATTTATTCTTCAATTAGGTTAGGTGTCTGATATTTCTCATAAAATATACTTGATATTCATCTATTATAATTTTGCAACTATTTGCAACACCATTGCCAAAGTGAAAATATTTCGTTAAATAACTTCAACTTATACAAAACTTACCACGAATGATATACACTCTCACTTAAATTTATTCTAACATACAAAATACATAAAATTTATATTAATAAATTTTTGTTCATTCCTAACAAGGATCGAATAACTAATTTTATTTTCATTTACGACTACACCTACTGTAATGTTAGAGATAAGGAAACCGCCATGTTCCTCATTTGTACTATGATTCTTAATCGATGACACACTTCATCGATTTTTTTATGAATGTCATATATTTATTTCATTTTATACGAATGTAATAAATAATTACACAATACTCAATTAATTTTATGACACAATAGTATATTATTAGTAGCATTATAATAATTTTAAATTATATTTAAATTGTAATTCAAATATGAAAATCCAATAGTTCTGACCTTTTTCTTTAATATGTATTCAACTATAGCATACAAAATTATATTGCAATTTTGAATTATATATCTATCTTTAATTATTTATTTCATTATTATGAGAGCATTGGGTAAATTGTGGTTTCCCGCCAGAAAAATAAAGTAATAATATATAGTTGGTAGCCATGATAATAATGTACACTGTTTTGTGCCGTGTACAATCATCGATCGTTCTTATTCAGGAAATTTCATGCGTTGTTTTTTTTGTCGATATTACTTAGAAAATTACATATAAACTAAAGTTATTCGAATGTTTACATAAAATGTAACATCTTCTTTTCCTCTTTACTTAAGTGAAACATAAACATGACGACAGCACTATATCTCGAGCATTATTTAGACAGTAAGTACTCAATTTTTTCTGTTCCAAAATAGAGAGAAAATTATATTTTTATATACTTAAATCAAATATGAAAATTAATTAAAATTATATTTATGCTACTTATTATAATGCACAAATTCAATTATATTAAATAAATACATAATTAAAAATAGATGATTCTAAAATTTATTACTAAAATTTTAATTATTTATGATATATTCCTTGTTAATTCTATTAGGTTTGGAGCATTTACCTATTGAACTGCAAAGAAATTTCACTTTAATGCGAGATCTTGATGCTAGAGCACAAGGATTAATGAAAGACATAGATAAATTAGCAGATGATTATTTGAAAAATGTAAAGAAAGAATCCCCAGAAAAAAAGAAGGAACAATTGACCCATATTCAAAACTTGTTTAATAAAGCCAAAGAATATGGTGATGATAAAGTTCAGTTAGCAATACAAACATATGAATTAGTGGACAAACATATTAGAAGACTAGACTCTGATTTGGCTAGGTTTGAAGCTGAAATACAAGACAAAGCTTTAAATAGTAGTAGAGCCCAGGAAGAAAATAATGCTAGTAAAAAGGGTAGGAAGAAATTGAAAGAAAAAGAGAAACGGAAGAAAGGAGCTGCTGGTACTAACAGTGAGGATGAATCAAAAACAGCTAGAAAAAAACAAAAAAAAGGTAAGCTTAGTTACAATTCATTAAATAAGTAAATGAGTATAAATATTCATAAAAATACAATTCATTAAATAAATATTCCAGGAGGATCTGTTGCCTCTGCTTCATCAGCTGGAGCAGTTGGAAGCGGGGCTCAAGTTGATTCTACTGCGCTTGGTCATCCAGCAGATGTTTTAGATATGCCAGTTGATCCTAATGAACCAACTTATTGTCTATGTCACCAAGTATCTTATGGAGAAATGATTGGTTGTGATAATCCAGATGTAAGTCAATATTATTTTAAAAATCTTATGATATATCAGTAATATTCAACAATACCCTTTTTTAATACAGTGTCCTATAGAGTGGTTTCATTTTGCGTGTGTTGGATTAACTACTAAACCCAAAGGAAAATGGTATTGTCCAAAGTGTACTCAAGATAGGAAGAAGAAGTAAGTTCTAGGAAATGGATAAATATAATGATTTATTTTAGAATAAAACAAAAGATTAGTGTATTATTTTTAAAAATAGAATGTACAGTTTTATGGTTTAACATGAAACAAAATTGAATTGTATAAAAGTAACTAAATAGGAAACTTGTAAAAAGAGAAACAGATAAAGAAAATACTAAAAGACTGGATTTACATTGCATCTAATATTGTCAAAAAGAACATTTTTTTTCAATTAATGTGACATCACATGTCCTAGACAATAAATTTTCCATTTTAAACACGATTTAAATCTTGCAATAGCATCATTAAATGTAATAAGATTTTACATTTAATGATATTTATATTGTCAACAATATAAGATGTAATGAAAGTGCAGAAAATTAATAGCTGATCACAGAGGAGAAACTTTGAAAATCGACCGTGACTATTATCTTCTTTCTATTTTTCTTTTTAGATATATGAAATAGTAATTTATTGTAAATTGGTCATTTTCAAACATCTGTGATTTGCTCAATCAAAATAGTATCTTACTATATAAATATTGTATTAAAGTAAAAAAAATGTTTGTTGCTTTTATATTTTATAAATGTATATGACATATATACATAATAAGTTCTTTTTTTCTTTTCTCTTTTTTTTTTTTTTTTTTTTTTTTTTTTTTTTT